ATTCATTGCGTGACCATAAACTGTTGAGCGTTGCCGTCGGCTGAGGTCGACGGAAGTTGACGATTTCTTAACGGCATGTAATTATCTTTAAAGGTTTGTAACAAGAAAAATATCCAACTAGATACGTACGTAAGTAATGGCGTTGTACGTTTTGTAAACAATTTTCAATAACAATATGTTATAGGACGAGTTTTTTGTTAAAGTTTCAATGTATAGCGGCTCGAATACAAAATTACATAGCCTTTGAATTCATATCCTATGTAGGTAATCACCTTCCGGAAAGAACCGGAAAAGATCGGTTTTTAATAAGCTTAGATCAATATAAATATTTTATCACTGAATGACGTTAATTGCTATCTAATCTAGAATTTAAAGCAATTATCTCCTATGGCTACTTACTTAGCGTTGAGTAATCAGTTTTATGGATCGGACGGAAGATAAACGATTGTTTACTATTCCAGGGTTCATCATAATTTATCAGCGTACATACTTCATAGTTGGTCTAAATGTCTTATGTCAGAGTTTTCGTTACACAATATGTTGGAAAGCGTAATTGATTTATCCTTGAAAGCTTAATAACATTACCGTCAGTTATGACATGAACTTTTCCTGGCCACGTTCGTTAATAAGAAGTTTTAAGTCCAGCAATAAAACATTGTAGAATGAAGATAAGTAAACGTTATCTACCATTGAATGATTGAATTATTATGACGTTAATATGCAGGTATATCTATGCATTACCCAATCAGAACAAGAGGTAAAGTTCTTGTCTACTCTAAAGGCAAGTAAGTGGCGCAATTTTTCGGTGTGACATCGTTGCCTAGTTCTGAGTGGCACCTGATTATGTAATGCGAGAACAACGGCGGCTGAATCGGGGTCGCGGTCTGTGAGCGAGCGCTCGGAAGTGCGTTGAGACTCAATGAATGCTTCAGATGGTGCAACACTCGATCATTTATCGTGATTACTAACTTTAGACGCCATAAACAGCTCTGAATACTAAAAATTACGTAACTACCGCTAACGAAGATTTAATAAATAAAATATTTATTTTTAAATCAATATAGGTATTCATACTGCTGCTTTACTTTTATACTTAATTAGATATTCTGACGACAAAGTAAGGTTAATTTTTGTAAATGACATAGTTTAGGGCAGTTTTTATTTGTGTACCTAATCACAAATTAAAATTAGTTAAAATTGTACGTATAATGTTTTCAGTTTTGTCAAAGCTGCTGCTTGCCGTTACTAATAAAAATCTTTAAAAATATATCATAAGTATTTACAGCTATCACACTACATACGCTCACTTCAAAAAATCTGTAAACCCTGTATTTGATAAATTTTAATCTCAAAGCCTAACATACTTATTACACAGCTGTGTGACAAACAATAGGTGATTATATAAGAACAAAAGTATTCAACATTCTTGAACATTATTGTGAAATGGAGGTAATATTAAAATATGAACCAGGTCAAATCACAGGAAGTGCCGATAGTTTGTCTATCGACTTTAAACTCAATGGCACACAACATAATGCATATTTAAGACTGCTAAATATGTTTAATTCTTAAATCTTTATCAAATAATTACTACTTAATTTTACTTTTTCACTTTCACTAAATAATTTATCAAGCCCCCTCTAATTTATTGAAACTTTAGGACGTGCTGGACTTGGTAAGGATATTGTTATTAGCTTATTATTTACGACATCACACGAGAACAATACTATAGAATAATAATAATACTTGTGCGTACGCAGCACATTTTATTATGCCTACTATTTGGGGTAATATCGATGATATTAAAAGTTCATGTTAAATCATTAAATAGATACGTACTCGGCACGGTAATAAACGGGAACTAATTGAATATTCGGTTCCGATTCCGAACTATAACAACACAAAGGAGTTACAAAATATTTGGAGGCCAATCTAGCACTATTTAACTTCCTATAGGTAAATAGTTTTGCTTGCCATGCAATAGTTTAATACATGGAATGTTTTTATTTATGAATCGAGTATTATCTATGTTACGCATAGCTCATAAATAGGCATAGATTAAAAACTTTATCAACTAAACCGATTTTCGCTTAACAATGAAGGATCATTACAGCTAAACTAAAACTAGAAAAATAATATATTTGTGACAGATAAAGTTAGGCAAATTGAGTGTTACTAGGTGTTGTAGAGGGCAAATGCTAGTTAGAGGTTATGTATTGGCTATTTTATGTAGCTGTATCAATTTATACGACGACATTTCCGCACACCCGTTCCTTTTCCGTGGTGCTACCACCATCGGAAGTTGGGACAGAGATTCGCGCGTCCCCCTTACCTCCCTACCCTCGTGCGCCCCTACACGTCCGGTGCCCGTAGGCCGCCGCTGTCCAATTTCCTCTTCCCGCGTGTATTAATTTCCGGCTTAAACTATTTCATGTCGTTCATTTCCTATTAAACATTCGTAATGATTTTTGTAATTCTACCTTAAAATGATTCTTTTTTTGTAATAAAACTCGTGATCGGGGAGCGCAAGTAGAAACGAAACGTACCTATCTAGCACGTTCTTTATGTTTGGAAAATTATTTGGTATTTACAGAAACCATTCCATTACAATATTCATTGGTGTCTTAATTGCAGTAAGTAGGTAACCTAATGCGTGTATATCATTATTTTCTGGGGAAATAAACAATCATATCTACCTGATACATGTACCTTTGTAGATGGAATGTTCCTATTGAGAAGGAGTGAAACATTAAATAGAAAAAGAATATAGTTCCCCGGCACCTCTGACTGACGACCGTCGAATGTATGCGCTCACGCAATGAACTTATTTCGGGTAGGTACTTCCGCATGTGTTCAAATCAGAGTCCAGCAGACGTTCATCGCATTCCGACTGGGACAGTCAACATATCTGTTTACAGGTTTAACTACCTTGGTAGGTGTATTAATAAGTAGGTATTAAATGTTTTTTTTATCGAATACCTACCAATCATCCCAACTTTAACTTATAGTCCTACCTACTAAGACCTATTCAAGGTCTTTAGTACATCAAGAAGGGCATAAAACTTTTGTATCATTAGTCTCCGAAAATCCTAAAGTAACTTAGTAATACAAACCACTAAGTTTCGTCCCAAAAAGTTTATATTTGTAGGTAAACTAGGGCCTAAAACAATGAATACTTACATTGATATTTTACTCTTTAACTGAGAGTGCAGCTAACAGATATGCAACTTTTCCGCCCTTTTGAGAGAAGTTTTTATAAAATCAGTCTTTATACATGGACTGAAACAATATAAAACCAACGAAATGTCGATTAGGTACTGTCATGATTTTTTCGGTACTAAAATGACAATTTACGAAAGAACAAGCAAATTCAAATTCTGGATTACAAAAAGCCCAAGTTTCGTCCTTCGTGCCATAATCCTGTTGTGCGGTTGTTTTTCCAACCCTCTAAGTAAAAATGCCAACCAACCATAGTTGTCAGGGGACAACATACAATTTATCTATTGAGGTGCAAAAAATAAGCGAGTTATCGTAACAAACATAATAAACTTGCTACAATGTAGACAGATAAGAAAAACGTTATCACGTAATACCAAACTTGTAACATTAGAATGTTAACAAAGAAAGTAGCAGCAAGTTCTGCGGTCACGGTCACGTATGACCGAACATCATGGTCTTTTATTCTCTAAATTACTGCACATAACTCCACGACAAACGTCTGCATGCCGCCAGAACACCAACGTATACCCGGTCGTGAGTACGAGCGAGACAACACGAGCAGGGAGCGCGGGGCGGGCGAAGGGAGCAACAGGTAAAGATTCCGAGGCCACTTCCGTCTTGGCTGCCGAATATTTCTGTCTCGAACCGGTAGTGGGACGGCGGCCAGGGCACACACGAGATAATCTCAACCTACACGCATACACATGGATGCAAGTACCAAACCAATCTACCGATTCAACGAAACTATTTCCCTTTTATACACTTTAAATTGAACCATTGGAATTTCAGAAAACTTGCATCTCATTAACTTTATGATAAAAGTAGGTGTGATAGTTAGTCTCAAGTGTATGCGTATCACAGAGCTTACTAACATAATACACACATAGCAGAGTCGAATGAGCTCAGCTCAAACCGGTTAGCGCTCATATTGTCTCACTCTGCACCAGGAAACTGCCGGCCGGTTGCCGAGACGTTTCCTGTGCTTTGTCTCAGTAATGTCACGATATCTTGAACTGCACGTTGATAGATCACATTCGTGAGTTCCTTGTGTTATGTTATAAGTACCAATAGACGATGAACGGGCTACATCAACATACCCACAATAACAGCAGTCTAATACGTGTGCGGTGTGGTGTGCATCATTATTTTTGGAGTTACAAAACTACAATTTTTTGTGCACATGTGTACTTACTAACAATTTGATAACAATCTTCAATGCTCATTCAATTTTTTTTAATTTCATAAAGTATATTTAACAAAACCATAATATATCGATCATTTAACAATATTGCATTGTAGCAATTAAAATACCTAAGTTCGCCCGGAAATTAAGCGCATTAAATCCGTATCAAAAAACAAGACTTGTAGCTCTGCGATAACTGTACAAACAAGGAAATATTGTGAGTTATTAAAAACTGGCGCGCTGACGTAATTCTACCACACTAACAAGCACTTCCGCGTGCCCTAAGCAAGCAGGCACACTTGACACTCGTATAATAATCCCATTCGTACGTTCCTTCATTTTATAAATGTTATTATGTAGGTAAATGCTTAAGATTTGCTTCAACAAGTGCAAATCAAAGGAGCATCGTCTGTCAACGCAACGCCTACCTACCCCGATAACGGTTTGCGGAAACAGTGCTCGTACGTTTAGTTAAAAATGGGACTTGGTCTGGCTCCCGAAGTTTTATCTCAATGTGTGAGGTGGCGAGGGGCGACCGGGCGTGCGGGAGGGGAGTGGTTGGCGCGCGTCCGTCCGCCCGCGCCTCCACCGCATCATCAGTCCGCGTCGGAGAGTCGCCCGCGACGCTTGTCTGCGAACTCGATCCCTCAGATACGCTGCTGGTTTACGGCGAGCCGTAACACGACACGTTTGGAGGGACCGCCGCTGCTTCGCGTGTGCCTGGTGCTCTGTGAACACTGGATTCTGTGCTACAAGTGTTTGTGACAATGTACATGTGCTGATTTACCAAGTTACCGTCTACATATAGGATTTTGACGACGCAACCAGTTCCGGATCAGCTCAGCCGGTAAGTAGCGGTGCTTATCGCAGACCACGCTATCGCGGACTCACGCATTTCCGACCGCGCCCGATAAGGCAACTGACTGTACTGTGCTCAGAGATACGAACTCCAAATCCGGCAGCAAATTAAACTTCGTAGTAATATAAAATACTTATTTTGATGTTAATTTCAAGATCTATTCACATTGCTGTATAGAAGTAAACTTGAATTGTTAAAACTCATTCTTAGCGAATCCTAAATAAGTTTTTGTTATTACCAATTTAATTTGATTTGGTTCATTTAAAAATAGAGTTAGAATCTCAAACTGCCCTGCCTGTCGCTTAATGTGGCTGTAGTAACAGCCAAATTAAGAAAAACAAAACAACATCGAACACAACAAAGGACAGAAAACTGATAAAATGTAGTAGGTACTTAATTTTTGTGATGTTATACCATCATTTTATTTATGATAATATGAAAATCTAAAGCCATCCAATCCAGAACGTAAAAATTTTATATCTTCTTACTTTTGCAGAAGAATTAATTATCCTTACTTAGCACAAAAATGATGAATTTCATAATTAAGAATTTACTAAACAATAAAATATTGCTAACTTTTTATTTAGAAAAGTTGAGACAATCACAGAGCCTTGCCAACAAGTAGATAGTCGCTTGAAATTATTGCCAATAAACACGAATAAAGTTATCAAAATGTGATAACCTTTATGACATCACAACAACAGGGATTTGTCAGTTGAGAAAGAAGATACTTTACGATATTCCTGTACAGTCAAACAGACAACTCGCCCAATTTTTGTAGTCGACAATAAAATTAAAGATTCCCTCCTAGTTTATTGTTTATTTAAATTACAAATATTACAACAAAGCAAGGAATTGTTTTTACTCTATAGGTAGGTATATCTAACAATCAAACAATCAAAACTGCATTAAGTAATTGTATCTTAAAAACAACAAACAGTCCCAGTGACAATTTCTATACCAAAAGTTGCACATGCATTAAAAACAATAATAACGCTTACTTCAACTGTTACATTATGTAATGTAATGTGTTATCGAGATATTACTAAAAAGTTTTCAATAAAATGTAATAAAAACTCTATAAATAAATATTGATTTCAATAGCTTTTCTTACGTAAGAGCATATAATATAGTTAAAATCTTTCGCGAGTTTGCTTTGACAAAACCTAGATCTGAAACACCCAACAATAAATTGTAAAAAAAAATTACTTTCTTGAGTATCAAAATGACAGTAGTTTCATTTTACACGGTATCTAATAATGACTGATAAGAAGATGCCATCAGAAAAGATAAGATACCTAAAACTAACACATTGCCACTTTGGCGCCACCTGTTATCAAATAGCTGAACTGTTTTAACGGTAGTCCAACTACAGTATGTACCGACTTTAATTTGAATTCATTGGGGAATCCTTCAACTAGGCAACAAGTTTGAATTAACTTTAAAGATTTTGATTGTTATAGCATGCGTTTCAATTTTGTTACAGACACAGTCGTGATGAAAGTTGTCAGTCTTCAATTGCCGTCGGGGCCGAGCATGGAGCGGCTGCCGCTACCATTCAGTCCAACGGAGTTACTATGGCGATACCCCCTACCATGGGCCCCGCCACCGCCTTCACCACTCGGTGATGCGAAGGCCCAACTGCCGGCTGGTCTTCCTCCAGAACCAAGATTATGGACTAGGGAAGACGTTGCAGTTTTCCTGAAATGGTGCGAAAGGGAATTCGATTTGCCGAATTTCGATATGGATCTCTTCCAAATGAATGGTAAATATTATTTAATAAAAATACAAGATAATTTAATATCCTCATCGATCAAATAAATTTAACTAACAAATTATGTTATTTTTTCAGGAAAGGCTTTGTGTCTTTTAACAAAAACTGACTTGGGCGAACGCTGTCCTGGTGCTGGAGATGTACTACATAATGTTCTGCAAATGCTAGTAAGAGATGCAGCATTGCTCGGAAGAGTACCATCGTCTCCAGTGACACCTACAGCTCGTGCAGCGCCTTACCCACCATCCCCACATTCTCATCCCCCAACTCCAACATGGGCCGTCGACAGCTTTCACCATTTCCACAGCGCTGCTGCAGCGGCTGCTCAGCCAAATTCTGTGACTTTAAGTCCAGCGCCATCAGTAGATAGTTCAGGAAGCCCACAACGAGGAGAAGCTGTTAATTATGCCCCTAACTATGCACCATCTATACCTGCTACTACTCAGGCGGCAAGTTCAGGAAGTAATCATTCAGATTCAGATGAAGAAGCCCAATTCGCGCCACCACCACGATCCCCTAAGGATGCGCCACTATCTAGCCCCGCACCGCAGCCTCACCCAGCGCCACAGCACTCACATTACCGAGCTCAACATAGGGAATTCTTCCCGAACGACATGCCGGAGTCCAATACAAGTAAGGATCAATTTATTTCATTTTGGTTAGATTAATATGCTTACAGAACAATAATATATGACAGTAAAATTGTATATTCAGTCCCTTAAACATAGTACTTATTTGTTTTTATTATTTTCAGATGGAAGATTACTTTGGGACTTCCTACAACAGCTACTAAATGATCCTTCTCAGCGATACACTAACTACATTGCATGGAAAAATAGAGAAACAGGCGTGTTTAAAATAGTAGATCCTGCTGGACTAGCAAAACTGTGGGGAATCCAGAAGAATCACCTTTCCATGAATTACGACAAAATGTCACGAGCTTTGAGATACTACTACCGTGTGAATATCCTGCGGAAAGTGCAAGGCGAAAGACATTGCTACCAGTAAGTAAAAATAACATTTGATTCACATTTTTGAAAACTTTTATAAGTTCTTATTTCGAGAACTAACAAAATCCTTCTTTATTACAGGTTTTTAAGAAATCCAACTGAACTGAAGAACATCAAGAACATTTCATTGCTACGGCAACAAATGAGTCCGACGAGAGTGGTGCCTCAAGCTGTCGTTAAAACTGAAATGAAGGAAGAACGTTGTGACGAAGAACCCGTAGATGAAGACATGCCTACTGACCTAAGTATGGCAGCGTCAGAGCCGTGGCGGAAGCGTGCGCGACCGGATCCCAATCCAGTTCAGCCGCACCATGATAAACACCACATAAGTGCTCTTATTGGTGAAAACATGATGATGAAGCGGGAATCAGAGTACGCCTCTGAACATTACGCGCTTAATCTAAAAAGTGAAAAATGTGAACAATGATTACAAAAGACTTGAATCGTGGGACACTTAACAGTGCAAAACGCAATTTTTGCATATTCAGTATGCAACCAGCTCCACCCACTAAAATTCTAGTCAAATTCCTCTCAGAAAGGATATTTAAGTCTTCCTCTAAAAAATATTAACGTACTTGATGAACAATTATTAACTGAGAGTACTTTGACAGATTTAGGATGGTCATTGGAGTTTAACAGGGTATGGACCTTAATGATGCCTTTGTGCCAAGTGATTTTTATACCTAATAGTGTCAATTATCTATCTAAATAGTTAGCAAAAGGGACGAGAGTTTATTTGTGTTAAAGTCATAAAATATTACCTATAAGATTTGTGCAATGGACTATTACTTAACTGTTGACTGAGATTTAGCAGTTACTGGAAATTGCCACAACTCTGTATCTATCCATGTTACGTGCGTAATGCGCACTCGATTAATGCATTTGCGTAATTTAATTAGTTTTATGAGTGTTTTATATTTTTGTTTAGATTTGCTAAAAAGAGAAGATATAATCCAAAAGAACTCAAAGGATTGAAATTTAAGAATATTATCATAATTTAACGTCGTCTTCCATTCGTTCTTTTTGGCAAACCTTCAATTGTAGCATGTGAAATGTAATTACTATAACATCTACCACATAAATGCAAAATAATGTATTAGGCAGCTTTTGGTTTGTAAAGAAATATATAAAAATTATTAATATAAAAAAGACAATAAAATGTCAAATATTTTAAAATGAAAATGCCTTGAAATCAATAAAACACACCCACTGTGATAAAAAATAAAGTGGTAGACATACTACGATAGGGATTTTACTCAAAGATTTCCAGCTACAATTTTCTGTGATCTCTTTTATCAATGTAGGTAGGTAGTTAGATGTTATAGAGTAAAAATGTCTTTGTAAATATTAATTTAGTTAAGATTTAAGAAACTGACTGTAAAGAGAGTGTATGTATGATTTGTAAAACAAAAAGTGGAGCTTTATCAAAGTACCTAGTATATCCGTAAGTTCTAATAACATTTGAGTTTGTATTTTTACATTTATTTGTATTTGGCATAATGCCAAAATTTCCAACTTGATGTACACAATACAATAAACATAAAGTTTCACGTTTATAATTGTGTCAGATTTATTATAACTTAAAATAAATGAGAAAATAATTATGTGTAAAGGGTCATTTTATTTTTAGTACCTGTTTAATATTTATTTATATAGGTACCAAAATAAAACTATAAAAGTGGACGGGTCCCGTATTCCTCCGATTTCGTTGCTTACAAATTTAGAGGCACGACTGCAGATGACATTGAGGGTTCGATACCCAAATATGGTTTTACAATTTCTTTTTTGATATGCTTAAGTAAACCCGGAAAATTCGGATCGTGGGAAGGTGTCGGACGCTAAACAATTATCCTACCTATACAACGAGCAGTATGTTTATAAGTTTGGATCATGTATGTAATAATAAGCGCAAGCCTGGGCTTGTAAAATCTAAGTAGAAAAGAAATATGGTATCTACATTACGTAGGTACGTATTTTGTGTACAGCGCAGTCTACTGCTTTGCATCATCAAAATAGAGAAATTAATGTGTCGGTGGGCCGAAAGTTAATGCACCCGTTCGTCGCGTTCTAATGTATCAGAGTGCGGGTTCAAAATCAAACTAATAGGTATCAATGTATTTTTCAAGTTGGACATTCATCATTTATGAAATTTCAAGCTTAGGTATTTAGACACCACTGAAATACAGTAAAGGTGAACATCATGAGGAGACCTGGACTTATTTTAAAATATATACATATAATCGCCATTTGACTAGTAGGAAAGTTGTAAGAACTTACAACCATCATATTTGGTCCGGAACCCTCTATGGCTGTTGCCCTTTATTGAGTTAGGATTTAAAACTAAAATTCAGACTAACGAAAATTAAGAACATATACTATGATTTATTATAAACAATATTATAAACATCAAAGAACAAGCTCAAGACCCTTATTCAGAATTTTCTTTTAAGTCAAGGAATAATCAAGAGCCTAATAATAATTAAGCTCTTAATTATTCGTAGAAAGTAAGAAACACAGTGCATACATGGAAAGAGAGGATAAAATTAATAATGCCAAGTCCAAAACCTATTTGGTTTTGGACTTGGCATCTTATCTCTTGGCGTTATCAAATCATAAGAAGAATTTGTTCAACTTTGATTTGAATGAAACAAATCTAACAAGACTAAAATAAAATAGCTAAAAATTTATGCAGCTATCATGAATTATTGACTTACAACAAAGAAAAATAAAAAGCCATTTTGTTTCAAAACTAATTGTATTAGAAAACTATAATTAACAATTATCCTTACAAACTAGATATTTCAACTTTAACATTATAACAAAGTTGCACATTACTGTTCTGGCACATTTTGGAAGAATATAACATCATCTGCTATGATCGTTGAGGCAGATCTAACTTGGCCATCATCCATTTTGACTTCTCCATATGATAACTTACCAGTTATGTAAACTCTCTGACCTTTCTTTAAATATTTATAGACTGTATCTCTTAGGCCAGGTTTAAAAATACTTATTCTATGCCAGTCAGTTCTTTGCAAGACATCACCTGATTCATACTTGTAACTGTAATGAGTAGCTAATGGAAAGTTTATGACTGGATGTTCTTCTGAGCCACGTTTCTGAGGATCAGCACCAACTCTACCCAGCAATGTTACTTGGTTAATTGCTAAAAAAATATGTAAAAAAATAGAGTTATATTTCCAAACAATCTTATAAACATCATACTTTTTGAAAATAAATAAAGTGTTTGATTAAATTTTAAAGTGGTAACTTACTTTTCTCAGATTTTTGTGAATTACATCTTAATAGAGTTAGTTGGATGCCAGTTGCTTGTTGTAATATTTGGGGTATCTGCAAATAAAACTAGTCTTTATCTTATGATAAAAGTTAGAAACTGAGATTATTTTCGGACATTTCGAAAGCAAAATGTTTACCAAACGAAACACGAAGCACAAGCTAAATTCTGGACATTCTACATTTTGGTGGCCAAGGTCATACAAAATGATAGGTTACTATTTTTGAAATGTTTAATGGCCAAAACTTGAACTGTGATTGTAGGTATATTTTAATCATTCATCATGTACATTATAAAATAGCCATTGAAATCTAAATTGATCACAACATAGTTTTGATATTGGAAAACCAGTAAGTAATGAAAACAATAGATCGACGGATATTAACGTGTTTTGGGTGTGATATCTAAATTAAAACAAACAGAACAATCCAGTTCCCAAAGAAACCGGTATAGAACTGATAGAAGCAAATACATAGATAATAAAAATATAACTTACCCTGCGCCCCAAAAACATGACGAGCGTGGATATTTAAAAGGTAGCAACGTAAAAATACTTGTTTTCTTAAAATAACGAAACGAACGCTTTATTTTTGGTTGATTCAATTCCGTGAAAATTAACCTATAATAACCTCAAAATAATAGTAATCAAAAAAACTTGTCAAACTAATGTCAACATACTAACTAGGCTTTTAAGAATTGAATGGAAATCACTCCACTGAAATAAATACCAATAATTGAATAACTTTAATACAGTTTTCTATCGATATGTTTATTTTCTTATGTGATAAAATAAAATGTTCTTAATCGATCTTTAAAAAAAATACACAAGTACGAAGTTATATTTTAAAATATAAGGTAAAAAATATATACTATCGTATATTTAACATGTATTGTATTGTGTCGTGGGGTGTCATGTCCTGTGCGTGTGCGTCGGGAGCCAATGCGCTGAGGTCCATACATATTTTACTGTTATATAGTTATATATTATGTATAGGTATAGGTTGCATTGGACTAGTAGATGACAACTATGGAAATATACCTTTCTCAATATTGGTGACCAAACCCAATACAGCCTGATCAATATTGAGACATACGGATAAATAGCAGGGTATATATATATATATATATAAATATTTCAGAATAAGGACGTGAACCACTTTTTTATGTTAGCAACACTGTGACATATAATTTAGACCTAAAATGGCTTAAAGGACTCGTATCCAGGTCATAAACTCAAAAAATGTAGACCTAAAGCTGTTAGGTATAGTTTTAAATTTTATTTCATTCTGTAAGTTCGTTTAGGTTAGCAATATATAATAGAATAGATAGAAAAGTGGCGGGAGTTCAAAGTTTTCCGGTGAATATACATAGTCTGGCCATAAATACTGTTACAATTAAAAATAAACAAAATATGTTATAACTGTGGTTATAACATATAACTAATATAACTTTGGTTCTGCCTAGCCTTGAATCCTCTTAGCACATTGCTGGAGAATTCAGGTCTAGGCTACCGGTTGAAGAGAGGTGGTCAGGTTATATCTCACTTCTTTTACATGGATGATGTGAAGCTTTTTGCCCCCAACAGGCTGCAACTGATGGAGCTACTCAAGCTTACTGAAACCTTCAGTAGTGCCATCAGGATGGAGTTTGGTGTGGACAAATGTGCGGTCATGCATGTCAAACGAGGGGAGATTGTGGAGTCTGTGGGCACTCAACTCACGGATTCCATAAATCTGAGGTCCCTCTCTCCAACCGAAACCTATAAGTATTTGGGTATGTCGGAAGCTTTAGGCATCAATGTCACTGACATGAAGCAATCGCTGAGGGAGCGTCTCTTTGGTCGCCTGAAGAAGGTATTTAATAGCTTTTTTTCAGGCGGAAACAAGGTGCGAGCTTTCAACGATTGGGTCATGCCGGTAATGATGTACTCTTTCGGCGTTCTCAAATGGTCTCAAACCGAACTTGACACCCTGGATAGGCGGGTCCGAACAATGCTGACTGCATACCGAATGCATCACCCGTGATCGTCGGTGATGAGACTGTATATCCCGCGGAAGTGTGGGGGTCGAGGCTTTCTAAATGCCAAGGCCCTACACAACCGCGAGGTATGTAGTCTCAGGGAATATTTCCTTGCTGCCGACGTGGGTATGCATCGAGATGTAGTGGCAGTAGACGAGGGGCTCACCCCGCTCTCCCTGGCTTACGAAAACTGGCGCAAACCGGTCGTACTTGACACCAACGCTCGCAGGGAAGTGTGGCAGAGAGAGATTCACGGACGCTTTTTACGAGCTCTACATGGGCTGGATGTAGACCAGTTGGCGTCCGTATCCTGGCTGCGTTCCGGAGACCTCTTTGGGGAAACCGAAGGGTTTGTCTGTGCAATTATGGACGAAGTTATCATAACGAATAACTACCGGAGATTTATTGTGAAGGACGGCACGGCTGACATCTGTCGGGCATGTCACCGTCCGGGAGAATCAATTCGTCACATAATCTCTGGTTGTTCTCGTCTAGCTAACGGCGAGTACTTGCATAGGCACAACGTTGTAGCTAGGATCATCCATCAGCAGCTTGCACTGAAGTACTCTCTTGTGGGATCGGAAGTGCCGTACCACAGGTATGAGCCCGACCCAGTTCTTGAAAATGGTCATATCACCTTGTACTGGGACCGGTCTATAATCACTGACAGGACTATTGTGGCCAATAAGCCTGATATAGTGGGGGTGGACCGAAACGAGAGGCGTGCAATGATTGTTGACATAGCCGTCCCACATGACGAGAACCTCGTGAAAGCTGAGAAAGATAAACAAATCAAGTATATTGACTTGGCACGCGAGGTTGTCGACATGTGGGATGTGGATTCGGCAGTCATTGTACCGATAGTCGTGTCAGCCAATGGCTTAATAGCTAAGAGCCTCGACCAACACCTTAAGAGGCTCTCGTTAGATGGCTGGATCAAAGACTTGATCCAGAAAGTGGTACTCCTGGACACGGCTTGTATTGTCAGGAGGTTTCTTTCTCTGGAGCCCTGACCGCCGGCAGCGTGGACCCTGTTCCCGATACCGGTGGGACACTATTTTTTATATTTTTAAATGTTCATCATTTTTATTTTTAAGAAATGTTTAAAAATATGATTTATATGTTTATATGATAAATAAACAAAATATTACATTTGAATTTGGAATCTGTCATTTTTATATAATTTTTCATTGTGTTTTCTTATTTTTGCGCCAATAAATTGTTCAATATTTTGCGATATTAAAATGGAGTGGGGTAATAAAGAGAACCGAATCGCTGTGATTGCATTACACAAAGTGGGTATGGAGCCAAATGCATTTTTTTAAACTCTCCACACGCTTGGCATTAGTCAAATGTTTGTATACCGGGCTATTAATAGGTACAATGAGACCTTCTCTGTTTGTGACAGAAAAAGATCTGGCCGTCCACGTAGTGTTCGTACGAAAAAGGTGGTCAAAGCAGTAAGGGAAAGAATTCGAAAAAATCTTGTCCGAAAGCAAAAGATTTTATATCGGGAGATGAAGATAGCACCTAGAACCATGTCGCGTATTTTAAAAGACGACTTAGGACTTGCAGCCTATAAGAGACGCAATGGACATTTTTAAATGATAATTTAAAAAAGAATAGGGTGATAAAATGTAAACAACTACTGAAGCGGCACGCAAAGGGAGATCACAGAAAAAATTTGTTTACGGATGAGAAATTTTTTACAATTGAGCAACATTTTAACAAACAAAATGACCGTATTTATGCTAAAGCTCTAAGGAAGCTTCTCAATTAATCGACAGAGTGCAACGTGGGCATTATCCGACTTCAGTGATGGTTTGGTGGGGTGTTAGCTATGAAGGAGTGACTGAGCCATACTTTTGAGAAAAAGGTTATCAAAACATCGGCACATTTGTATCAAAATACCATTCTTGAGAAGGTAAGCCCCTTAACAACACCATGTTCAATAACCAACAATGGTCCTTCCAGCAAGACTCGGCGCCGGGTCATAAAGCTCGGTCCACGCAGTCTTGGTTGGAAACGAACGTTTCCGACTTCATCAGAGCTGAAGACTGGCCGTCGTCTAGTCCGGATCTTAATCCGCTGGATTATGATTTATGGTCAGTTTTAGAGAGTAGGGCTTGCTCTAAACGTCATGATAATTTGGACTCCCTAAAACAATCCATACGATTGGCAGTGAAGAATTTTCCCATGGAAAGAGTGCGTGCTTCTATTGATAACCGGCCTCAACGTTTAAAGGACTGTATTGCAGCCAATGGAGACCACTTCGAATAAGCTTTTTATGTTTTAAATTGTTTTATATTTATGTATTAAACTTACATACTGTAAAAGTAATAAATGTTATTTACAATAGAAAAAATATTTTTTTATTTGTTACAGTATTTATGGCAGGACTAGGCACAGAGTGTTTTGGTTGACCGTATTTCCTCAGGTAGCTTGTTATAAATTTGAATGTTTCGGTATTCTGGGCTATTTTTATACATTTGCAGTCTAGGTGCAATTTGTTTTTCCGGCATTCGTTTTTTTAAAAATTTAAACATCTTGATATTTTTTTTTACAATACTGGCTAGTTCTAGTATATAGATGGACGGCAATGTTAGAATTTTCTCACGTTTAAAATATGGTTCACAGCTATCTCTAGGTTTAATGTTATAAATAATTCGCAGACATTTTTTTTGAGCAATAAAGAGATCTTTATCATCGACACTGTGGCCCCACATGATGATACCGTAGCGTAGCCACGCATAGGCATACCTATGCGTAGTACGCAGTTAGAGCACATGGTGCGTTTGTATTAGTTTTTAATACATTTAACCCTATGAGAATTGTGACAGTTTTATTTCATCATTTAGTTTCATCACTATAGTGCTTGGTATTGCTTTATTTTAATCAGAATGTGTTTTCTTTGTTGGGTTAATGATGAAATGAACATAGCACATAGTTGTTGATGTATATCAGAGAGGTTACGTGTTTATTGGATGTTTATTGATGTTCATAACTGGTGCGATGTAACTAAAGAGTTCCAATAGTGGACAAATATCGAAACTTAATTATAAGTACTTTCGGATGTTTAGGTTTTTAAACATATTGTATTCTAATTATTATTCTATTCTACAAGCTAGTTGTAAATTATAAAAATAATGACGTGTACCAGCAATGGAGGAATGGGTTCATGATGGGTCAATCCTATTTCCAGCTATGGACATCGAAATTATCGAAATGGGCTGGACTATTGAAACGGTGAAAAAAGGTTTAAAATTTTGGAAGAATTGGATAAGAAAGGCTGATTGAGATTGTTTTCGTGAAATTCTTTTTTAATATTTTGTTATACCTAAATGCTAATCACATTGTCCATTAACAAACATTGTCAAGTTGGAAAAATAATCATAAATATTATATTCTATTACATTTTATTCTCATTTCAATAATAAATCATAAATTGTAGGTACGATTAATTACTACGTGTCTACTAACTGGATGTCCATGACTAGGTTTATGTCTATTACTTGATGTCCATGAATAGGTTTATAATAATATTACTAAGACTAATTTTATTACTAAGACTCGAATTTTTATTTGTTCCTAGTCGACATCAGTCTTGCCATATCTCATGGGTAACACAGTAGAAATATCGTGTAAGAAGCGGACTTTAAACTTT